TTAGCTCCAGAAATGGCACAAGGGGCTTTAGGAGACTAGCGGGCGAAAGCGAAGTTTGAAGGTTTTAGCAATCAGTCCGGCGTCCAGTGACGCTAGTGTTCCCCTTGGATGGCCTAAACATCCCGGTGCCGATTGTTAGCTTCCACCAACTGGTTGTAGAATCAACCATTGTGAGGCGGGGCATCAGGGGTTGATAAGGGAGCTTCCTCCTGGTTCCCGTCGGTGGTGATCAGTGGAGAACAGGTCTGGAGAACCATTTCAGCTCTCCTATTTAGCAGAAAAATTTTAGGCGTAAACGATAAATAACTAAATGAAAAATAAAGAATCAACAATTGGTTTGGTGCATCCTCCTCCCCATCTTGGACTGTTACTTGAGCGCCAAGAATATCCGTCCGACTTCACTTAGGCTAAGATATCCATTTGATCGCTTGAAGAGTTGATAGACTTGCGGAGCAATGACAGGAGAGGACGATTGAATTACCGTTTCTGGCAAATATTGCAACAGCCACCACCATCCCGCTAGGACCGTCCTAAAGGAATGTGTGGGCAACCAACCGCTGCACAGAGACATTCACATGCTAGATGGCACACACCAACGCATAATCAAATAACGGTTTGCATGTTTTTATTCTGCGGGGCAAACTTCCAAATCCTCTTCCAGGAAGCCATTGTGGCGTTCGAGGGGATAATGAGTTTGAACCAGATGATGAAATATTTCTGTGATACGCATCGTAAAAGGCAATTCCATCGAAATCCAGGAGACAGCCACACTTGACCATGGCGAGCTGGGGCAGTACCTGGATCCCGAAGGTAATTTGGTCGACGATGAGGTTCCTTGAAGATATGTGGGGATGGACACCGGCGCTGTGGTTCAACTTGGTGGACAACTTCCTCCACACCAAACAGGGAAAACCCTTGCGCCCCTAAGAAAGGGACTGAAAGTACGGAGTATTGCACCCTGACTACTCCGTACAATGAGTGTATTCCCTCGTCTGGCGCGAGGCACAAGTAGCGCAATACCGTTAGGGTAATAACTAAGGTGTTAGCCTCAAAGTACCAACCAATAATTTCTCATACTAAATTCTATGTAATCTGATTTGTTGGTACTGTTCCACTATCTCCTATTTTCTAGATCCATATCCACCAAGGATGTGAGACCCCTACTCCCCCTGCCCACTCTAAGATAGAAATATGAATTCTACAGGTGATTTCCAATTCTCCAATGCTTTCTTTAATCAGATTGACTGATTTATTATTAGGAAGTACAACAACAAATGCAAAATGAAAGCGATCTATTAGTTTACTTCTCGCAGATATTCTATCTCCAGAGAGTATTAAATTCAAACAACTGTCAATCTGTCCAATTATTGATCCGCGGAACCCATACACCCTATTCTCTCTCTATATCTCAGAGACAGATATTCAGAATATTGTCCACCAATGTCTATGCAGAGATTCAAATGCCAAAGAATCTAGCCATCAATCCCCGGGATCAGCAGTTAACTACTTCTGCAGAAATCAAGGTATTTCTTGAGCAGATTATCTATATAAGGGTACATAGATCTCCAGCAATTGAAGATTATTGGAATAAGAATGATACTCAGGGACCTCTTCATTCATCAAAATTTCATATGAGACAAAAGTGATTTGAGCAGATCAAGAGATATATCTATATATTTAATGCTCACAGATCAGAATCCTTCAATTCCTCCTTCATACAAAAGCTAGAGCCTCTATACTCCAACTTTCATACAGCATGTCAGAAATACTACAATTCAGATTCAAATCTCTCCATTGATGAGATGATGCTTTGATTCTTTGAACAGTTCAAATACACAGTCAAGATGCCTCAGAAACCAATCAAGCAGAGATATAAGAACTTTGAATCTTTTCCATATCTCATGATAATCTCCGCATAAGTACAATGTTCCGTACTTCAGGATTAACCAAGACTGAATCTCTTGTGATGGAATTGATTGAATGGCTGCCTGTATCCTTGCAGCACTCTGAGCAGCACCTCAAGCAGCAGAGCTCCGAGCAGCATTCAGAGTTGAATAACAGTAAAGAGGTTGCTCGCTTCTTGATTTATATGAATAACTACTTCACCTCTGTTTCTCTATTTCATTATCTTCAATAACAAGAAATTGAAGCTTGTGAAATCACTCATTCTGTCAATCTATCTCCTCTTCTGCAAGAACTGAAGAACTCTGAACTATTCTCTCTTATTCTCTATAATACTCTGTGTATAATCCCTCAAATGGAGTTCTCTGTTTTGAATGGAAAGACAATAACATAGTATTACTACTGTCTACAATTCATATGCCAGACAGCTTTGTTGAATGTGTCAGAAAACACCCAGGATTGAACTCTACTAATGGACCTCAAATTCAGAGAATATTTGGAGACAATTGACAAAAAGCAGTGGAGATTCCTACCATCATTGATGATTACAATCATACTTTGAAGGGGATTGACCTAGCAAATCAGTATAGAGCTTCTTATGAGACTCATATGCCCACTAATCGCACTTGGTTGGCAATTTTATATTGGATTATTGACCACGCTATTGCCAATGCCTTTATCCTTCATCGATTAGCTACTACAGACACTGGCACTGGCACTGGCACTGGCACTACTACTCTCTCTCATGTTCAATTCCGTCAGCAGCTCTATCATCAACTCTTTGAGTTTGCAAGTCCACTACTTTCCACTCGAACAAATCCAGACCTCAATCATCATTGAATTTCCCTGCCATCCACTCAAATCTGTGCCTGGTGTCAGTATAAAAGAAAGAGAATGGAGGGGAATAAGGGTAGAGCTCCAAGATCAAGATCCGGTTGTGCTGCATGTAATAATATTCCTCTTTGTATGAAGAGCCGTTGTTGACAGGAGTTTCATTCTAATGATATTAATTAGGGCTATACGGCTGATCTCTCATATAATCCAGTAGATTTTGTGTTTTTAATACACCAATGTACACGCTAAAAAATGGCGCTAATTGTGCCTCGCTGCCAGACGAGCGGATAACACGAGTGTATAACGCTAGTGTCTCTGCGCTCCGTCCTGAGTTCTGACTCCTGAGTCGACCGAAGCCGGCGGCGAAACCAATGTAATCGATTATCTTCGAGTTATCATCTGTGTTTGGGACTGTGCTTTCCCGTGCACACCTCCTTCCATGAGGAGGATTCTGACTCCAGACATCGTTTCCATTTGCCCTCGATCAAAATAAAATCTCCATGGGGATATTGTGTCATATGGAGGGAAAGTTTTTCTGTTGTGTTTTGCAACTCGAAAAGGCGCCCCAAAAGTAAATTCGAGAGTCTAAGCTTCTTCAATGAATTTGAGCGAAGTTCCATGAACAACAATGCAAAAGCCAAAACAGCCACCTGCGATAAGATTTTAGTACGAACCAGGACAGCTTTCAACTTGCTAGTTTATACCACTAAGCTCTCGTCTGTCCAATATCAACACAAGAAAAAGATGGCCTTTAAAAT